TTTGTAAAGACCTATTAAATACTTGCATAATTTCGTACGTTCATATTTCAGGAAACAATGAGCTAAGACTTACATGTAAGAAGTCTAAATCTACACGGCCATATCCCTTACAAGCCCTAACGACAATTCGCTGAAATACAAGTTAGCCTGATATGTCATCAAGCAAACAAACGTTCAAGTTAATATATGATATGCCGATTTTCGCTAATTTTAGACACATCCCAAAATATGCCTCCGAATTTGAACATTAATATCTCCGTGAATTTTTAAGTAAAATACAACTGTAATATATCAAAACCTAAGTTAGGCCTTCCTCTATTTAATGCAAGTTATTTCTGTTTGATAGCTTTACTTATTTAGAAGTTATTATAAATCAAACCGGAGTACTTTTTTTGGGACATCCGGTATATATAACTACAGACGGTACCGTTTCGGCCTTTTGGGCCTCATCAGTGTAGTGCTGATGAGCAGGATGAAAGCAACTAGTATTAATAGTTACCTTTGATGTCTCACGAATGTGGGACATCAGACCATTGCCAGAGTGCTCAAACTGCAAGCAGTGAGCGTGCGCACAATGCGTAAGCAACAATGGCTCATCCTGTAGAGTGCTCAATATGACCTATATAATATGACCTATATAACATGACATATATATATATATATATATATATATATATATATATATATATATATATATATATATATATATATATATATATATATATATATATATACATATATAAAAACATAACTGCGCGTATTATTCAAATATGCAATTTCCCATTCGCTTTACTGAATTGTAAAGTACCTGTAGTCGATTGAACTGTTTCATGACTTGCACATACTTGTGGAAAGTGAAGGGAAAAATGCATGTTACTTGATAGGGTAAAATTGTACCGCGTGACAGGAGCAATTTACGGTTTCTAAAACCAGAAAACCTGGTCTATATTAGATCTGTACATGTGATCGGGTAACATTAAGGGTAACATTAAGGGCATGGATGTTGTGTTATGCAAAATGCCACGTCCATCAACAAGTAAACAAAGAGATATGCATGCTCATATTCCCGTCCAAGTTTTGCTGTTCTTGCTTAAAGGTCGAGTTTTATTTAGCAGTTTTACAGCCACAAAGGACATGATTTAGGCGTGTGTTATAATCTATATTATATCATGCACTAAAATAAATTCTTCATTTAGGTTACGAGGAGATTCTTGGCTCACATCGCCAAACGTTGAATGATACCTGTCAGATCTGTAAACCTGGTCATTTTAATGACGATCCTTCCAAACACGCTTGCAGAAAATGTAAAGCCGGGGTTATTTGTTTTGAAGGTAACGTTGTAATTTTTAAAAATTCCAGTATATGGGAATTAATGGGTATTATCAGGAATTGATCATTATGACATTTTTGTGATAACCGAGGTAAGGGGAAATGGGCGTTGTATTCTCCATTCTTGACCATTAAGGCCGTAGGTAAGTTACTGTGCAGTATTTGAATTGACAATTACAAATCAGTTAGTAAGTCACATCTTGGTTCTGGATAGGAAGAAACTTTGGATAGAAATTGAAAAAAATTAACTTGAGGATGGAAAGCAATAATCATTAAAGTGCCTATGCAAGAATTTTTATGATTGAATTGCAAATTTATTTAAAATCATAGTGTAACTTTTTTTCTAAAACTTTGTTATCTTTCCTGCATGTCAAGATATTGGACTTTGTTTGGCATGTAAATATGACTTCACACTGCATAATGTATTTTATAGAAGACTGTTTTTTAGCGTGATAAAATTGTCATTAACTCAAGTTTACAGACGAAATGATAGCTTTGATAATTCTTAAAGTATATATAACTTTCAATGTCAGTGGAATTATCACATGTTTGGCAAGGAAACGTTTTCTTTCTAAAACTCATTATGCAGTGTGACGTCATTTATGTCACATTTGCATATCAAACAAAGTCGAAAATCTTGACATACAGAAAAGATAACATAGTTTTAGAAAATAAGTTACATTTATATGATTTTAAATGAACTTTGCAATTCAATCATAAAAAAGTTTTTGCAAATAGGCACTTTAATTAAGCACTATAATAACCTCAAAATTGGAAAGGAGGCCCTGATATCAAAACATGTTGAACCGTATGTGCCGAATGGTCAGTATACGCTAAAATTAAAAACTCGAAAATATTTCCGGTTACTCCGCGATCGGCCAAAATTGTGAAGTTGGAAGTTTCAGTTTACAGATGTTATCTTAATTATAAATAGAAACCAGGCCTAAATAGAAACGTACCTTCCCATTAAAATTTACTTACGGAAAACACATGGGTAAGAAAAACTTCCAGAAGACAAAATAAACAAATACTGTTACGAATTCGTGGCTATACGCGATATGCAGAGACAGAGTTGTCAATAATTACTTCGTCTTTGAAATATTCCTAGCTAGAGATCCTCAAATTCATCGCAATTGCTGTAAGTTGTTAGAATAAGAAAGCTTTCTGAAGGATGTTCTAAAATCTATCTAAATTCTAAATTACAATACTTACATGCAGTAATATACAATAACTAAAATTTGCCGTTGAACTCAAGCGTGACAGCTTGTCACCCGTCCAGACCCGATATATCCACCCGATATATCCACCCGATATATCCACATGTACTAACGGTAATTTCGTTATATTTGAATAGAAGTTCAAACGTTCAAATATACATGTAACTGCAGCAGGCCTTAAATATCTTTTACAGGGCCGTCTGACAAAATGTCCGATGACTTTGTGTTTGGGTTGGACATATGTCCGATGACTTCAGTTCAGTTAGGGTCGGAAATAAGTCTGAATGACGCAAATTAATATCAGCATAATGTATTCATTCTGAACTAAATGTTGTGAAGATATTAAATAATTTGTGTCATTCATACTTATTTCCAAGCCAAAATTAACTTGCTTGCCAATGATAGCAGTACGACTTCGATGACGTTTAAGTTACCGAAGTCGTAAAAGCCCGTTTTCCACCTCACCATTTCACTCGCCACCCCGCAACATTTCCGGTTCTGGGTCGGACACCAATTCACTCAGGTCGGACAAACAATAAACTTCAGTTTCACTTAAGTTGGACAGAATGTCCGGTGGTTTCCTCTCTACGTCGGACAATTTGATGAATGGGTCGGACAATGTCCATGACCGACCGATATTTTAAGGCCTGAACTGCAGGAGGAAGATGTATTTTATCTTTATTACCGTTTTTCTTACAGCTTCTTTCAATTCTTTGCGATAAATCCCAACACGTTTGGAAAACTGAATATTAAAGTATTTGTTGACAACTATTACAACTCTTATCAATGTTATGAATTTTCTACAGCATTTGTTTATCCACTTTTTTCCATTAGGAAAAATGTAAACTGGAATTTCGAAGTTCGATATTTTGGTCGAACAAAGTTGCTAGTCTTGCTAACTTTGACTTCCCTTGGCTTTTCCGTACGCGATTATTTTTACATCCGGCGCATTTTGATTGGCTAAATTCAAATAAAGTGTGGTGATGGGCGGTAAACCACTTAATAGACGTTTGTATCAGGCGTTGATTTCCCCCAAGAACGCCTGATTGCAGGTTAGCACTATAAGGATTGCGTGCAGATTGTTCAGTATAAAACACACGGAAGGGACACATGTATAAGGCAGCGTGTCAGGCAGGTGCACATGCAGGCTTTGCGCGATTTTTTATACATACTAAAATACTTCCATTCTTTCATGTCTTCCAGGGGCTACAACAGACGAGCCTCATGCCAATAACTCACTGTATGGCGTTCAGTACACCAAGTCATTCCCATGCCCCGTTGGGTATTATTGTGAATCAGGCGACATCATTCCAACACCATGTCCTAATAAGACGTACAATCCCGATGAGCGAGGTTCGCGAATGGAAAACTGTTTACCATGTAAAATTGATCATTATAACCACCTCACGGGGCAGTCTGCCTGTTTCCATTGTGGAGGACAAGCTAGACAACCGTATCTCGGTCAAGATAGATGTCAATGTAACGGATTACATCGTGTATTTATGGTAAGTCATTTTGCTGTCATTAGCGTTATAATCATGATTATAATACTGTTATTCTGTATGCAATCATACATATTAATTAGCTGATTCTCGCGATTCATTTCGTCAGTTCATCTAATTATACGACGAAAAACAGTCGCACATTAATTAATGCCTATGCTCCCGTGAAACTTTCATTCTTATCCAGACCTTGCTACTGTGGCTTGCACGCTGATTGGTTGAGCTAATTTATACATTTGATTATATCTATAGCCTAGTGATCAAACATGTTTGTGTGAGAAAGGATTCAGAGCCATGGAAGGTCGGGAACTTGACTGCGTCAGAAAGCTTTATCCATTCTGTCCTGAGGGAACATGGAGGTCTCAAGCTGGAGACTGTTTGGCTAGCGAAGAGTGGAGAGTATATTGCGCATCTGTAAGTAATATTTTAAAATCAATCAATGGATAAGTTGATTGACAGATTGACCGCGGGATTGATGTTTCCATTTATTGATTGATTGTGGAATAATCTATTGATAAGTAATCGTTTGATTGATTGCCTACAGGTCCATCGATTGATTGATCCATTGACTGATTTATCGAATGCTTAAATGATAAAATGATTAGTTAATTGATTGATTCATTTCTTATATTCTCTGTCTTCGTTTCTTATGTTCGATTCTCGAAAAACTAGGACGTACGTACATAAATCGGTTGCGTTGTCAGCGTAATAAGTATATCATCCCCCTAATTTGGCAAAAATATTTGATGATGCAGTTGAAATCTTGTCTAAGTATTTCTTTCTTTTGCTTTAGGTATGTGACGTTGGGAACTATGTTGGATTCGATCGCCAGCTTGGATTGTGTACATGTCGAGTGGATGATTTGGAGGATATCTGTGACAAAAAATGTCGGAGGCAACAGGAAAATCGCCTTGAACATATTTGTGCCAGCAAGCCGTATTTGCAAATAAATAGAATTCAAGGAGGACCGGTAAGACTTATTTCCACCTCCAGTATTTGTATTTATTTTCACTCCGTATGCTGCATGATGTGAGCGATGATTCCCAGAAAACGGAAAGAAGCAAGAGACTGATACAAGAAACGTCCTCGAGTGAACGCGTTCGAACCCCATAAGCAGATAATTCTGCCTGCTATGTGGCTGAGTTTCGAACCGCGACAATCGAAATGCTAGCTCGGTGTCGCTCTTCCGACTGAGCTAGGTAGTAAACGACATGCACGGCAGTAAACGCCGATTTATGTAATTTCTAAGAAAACATAGTGGGAAGCGCATTTATTTGGATTTTACAAAACAGATATAGATGTTTCATTTACATCAGCATGTTAACTTTCATATCACTTTCACATTGTACCAAGCTATGGAAGTCCCTCATTCGGCAGTTGCATGTCCGCTATCAAGATAAATTATCACGAAATATTCTCTATGGAACCTTCATGGTATATCTGGTATATCATCTTCTTTAGATTGTGTTTCATGACTTGGAGTCTTTCAGTAACATACCAAACTTCCTCAATACATTCAGCAAAGATCAATGTTCAAAGCTTGATTCTGGTGGTCATCCGTTCAACTTGGTAGAAATGGGAGGTATTAATTGCATTTTGTTCCTTGCTCGAACAACAATATAAATATTGTTGGCAAAACAACGCATGTTTCTCATAAAGTAAATAAAATGCAAAAACAAAGCTCTATAGTATATAATAACCTCACCAAAATTCTGATACTTTCGAAAAATTATCATTCCTGTATTTTGTATACCATGCAGTTCTCTCTAAGTTCCATGTACATTCGTATGCCATGCAGTTCTCTCTAAGTTCCATGATTCCTATATTGTATACTCATAGCCCAGTAGAATACACGGAGTGCCTGTAGTGTATAATTATTTGAACACATTACTATGTTGTTTCTGATGTTACTCTGAGTGTGCATCCACACCGGGCAAGCTAAAAGTTAGCTTGGCCACGGTGGGAATCGAACCCGCGACCTTTGGGATACTAGTCCAGTAATGCTCTGCCAACTGAGCTACGTGGTCAAGTCGGTTCGAGTTGATGATATTTCGGAACTGAGTCTAGTTCCTTCGATATCAATGTATTCTATGATACGATTATTTTGTGTGTGTTGGTGTTATGTACCCAGGTGAATATGATGTTTGTGACACAAACATCATATTCATGCACCTGAGTATACATAACACCAACACACACAACATAAACATTGCTATAAAAAAAAAAAATCACCTAGAAAAAAAAATCACAATAAATTGTTAATTATTTCTGTGTTTCTATTAATCACAATAAATTGTTAATTATTTCTGTTTTCTATATTTATATTGATATTTTGTAAAGGGCCCACTGTAATTGGTGTTAAGCTGTTGTGGTGTCACAGCTTCTTTAAATGCAATTATTGTATAATGTTTGGAAGCGAAGCACAATAAATAAATAAATAAATAAATAGGTGCATGTAGGATTATAGATGTTGCAGGCTTCCGATTTATTGCAATAATCAAACTTATGCATATGTGAAGGTTTTTGGTAATCGTCTCATTGCTAACTTTAATAATAATAAAATTAATATTCTAATTTCTTATATATTTGCTTCTCTAGACAACGGATTTCTGGGAACATATGATCCTTCTGCGGATTTTATTGAGGATATTTTAATGAAGAATCGCAAAGATGATAATTTGACATCACCTACGGAGGCACCTTCCTCACGGAGACGACGTAGCTTGCTTGCTGTTTCAACTTCAGGCAATTCATTGTCCGGTATTTCAAACCCCACCACGTGTGTTAACTATGGCGCTTCGATGATGTTCGTTGTTGATAACGATAATTATCCCGAATACGACGAAAATAACTTATACAATACCAATCCAGATTTTGATTCAGGACCGTTCAGAGATCTGAAAGAAAGGCACGCACTCATGAACACCAACTCGACGTTGTTTACCTTCAAGTTTGATTCGCCAGGAGTGTATGTGTTCAGGTCCAGTAAATATCCAGATTATAAAATGGTATGTACCATTAATACTTGAAAGTCACGCTCTGATACAAACTCTGTGTGTGCAGAGTTAGTGGAGTTTGTTAGCTATTTGTCTATGATTTCTATGTATAACTGGAGTGATCATTTCATTTTTTCAATATCACCGACAACAAATGAGCGAGAATTGTAAATATGACAAATTTTACGATAGAAAATGGGGGGTAGCCAAATGTAATAGACTTTTTCATAGCAACCAGTCTACAATTAATAGACCTATGTACATGAATTTCATGTTTATACCCCTTCCAGTGAACATCCATGAATAAATCAAATCGTTCTATTCGCTTCAGTATGTCCGTGTGATGGCGCGTGGAGCGCAATGTGCTGAAGATGGCCCGTTCTTCTCAACTACTCCACGTTCAGTGATTCAAAATGGTATGGCTATATCACAAGATATTCTAATCATGCCTGATTGGTTGCTAATTGGATTAATGATGGCCAGTCTTTTGTTGCTTATGATCATTCTTGTTATTGGACTGGTAAGTCTCATTACTTTATCTGTGCGCAAAGGTGTTGTGTCATTCCTCTGGATGAAATAATGGCATGTCAGGACGAAATAGTATTTCTTCACAGTTTCTATAACTTAGACATCCTTGCGTTGTCAACATCAAATCTATTTGAACAATTTCAGGTTATTAAAGCAAAACGTAGTGTTAATTTTTAATCTATCCGTGCCGAACTTCAGAATAGACAGATTTAGATCGAGGACGCGGACGTCAAAGACGACGTGAAAATGGCGTGTTGTGCCCATGTATGGATATGCCACGCCATTTTGACGCCATTTTCACGTCGTCTTTGACGTCCGCGTCCTCGATCTAAATCTGTCTAATAAGAAAAATAACCCTATAATTATAAAATAATATAATACTTTTCTATTTGCTCACAAGTGATCGAATTACTATTATAGTTAATATTCCGAAAGCATGGCTGGAGGAAGATGGTGTTTACATCTCCCAAATACAGAAAACTGAACACTCAGTACAATTTTGATGATTACTCCTCCAAAGGATCTGCCGTCCACCCCTCAAAGAAACTCCACAGGAACTTGTATGCCATTGATGGTGCACCAGCTATTGAATCTGAGCCTGAAACATCTCAAGCTGGTAACGTCTTTAACGTAGCTATTTTATTTTAGTGGTACAGGGAAATATGTTTGGTCAAATCATTATGTAAACCATGCAGATAAACTCATTTACAGGACAATATTAGCAGGACAGTAGGTTTCAAATGTCAAGTAGTAAGTTATGCATGGCATACGCGAGTTTGGTAGGAGGGTTAATAAGATAAATGAGGCAAGCGGTTTCGGTTATTCTACCTGCAGCGGAACAGTTTTTGGCAAACGTTTAACGGATTTAATGTAAATTAGGGCGTGGATAATTTTAAATTGCAGTTTAGGACGTAGTGTTTTTTTGGTATTCTGAATTCACACATTCATGTAGTCAATTATCCATAGTCGTTCTAATTTCAGAATTACTATAATTAATTTTGCGTTTTTTTTTAAGGTATTGGACACGAAATGAAGTCGGACGAGTTTTGGGATTACGAGAAACAAGTTGATTTGGAAGCTTTCAGCTGTAACGAATTTTATTCAATTTTATCCAAACAATCGCGTGATGTTACTTCCTCTATAGCTCGTCAAAAGGATCAGGTAAATTATGCGTTTGGTGTTTAGGATTTTACTGATGGATTTTATTTTCATGAATAGCATGCTCAATAACATGTGGCGATCTTTTTATGGAGCAGTTAGATGTTGAATACTGGCTTGTTGTTGCTTTTTAATCCATTTTAAGCCATTCAGGGGCTTCGGGGGGGGGGGGGGG